AAGGCAGACAGCTGACAAGCTTGCACACTGACAGGGCGTGAAAGAACAAAAAATTCAAAAATGGAGGTTGGGGGGATCGATCCCCCCGGCCTCTCGCATGCGAAGCGAGCGCTCTACCACTGAGCTAAAACCCCCATGCGGACTGTTCTCGTGCCATGCATAGCGTGCATGCATCCTGCAAGCCGACTTAGCTCAGTGGCAGAGCGTCGCTCTCGTAAAGCGAAGTTCGGGTGTTCGATCCCCCCAGTCGCCAAGCTTTTTTTTTTCTTCTTCAGTTTCTCTCACTCCCTTCTTGGCGGGTGTCTTGCTTTCTTTTGGCACACCCACCCATTCAACACGCTCACTCCTGGATTCCCCCATGGTCCAGTGGTTAGGATCCCGCGCTTTCCCCGCGGTGGCCGGGGTTCGTTTCCCCGGGGCGGAGGTCTTTTTGTCCCAGATGAAGGCTGAGGGGGGGGGGGGGGGGGCACTTCAAGTCTTTTGCCATCTGTTGGCATTGGCCAGTACTGGGAAGCGCGCTGCTGCAATCAGACACCCTCAGAAGCACTCACAGTGCTTCAAAAAACACCTTTTGGGCACCCAAAGCGCGTGATCATGCTCAGGATTAGGCAAGAAATCAGTGTTGCAGCACCCCAAACACAGGCTTCTGGGGGGCGCCCAAGGGCCTTGCAGACCTCCAGCAAGAGCAAAGCACTCAGGATGCTTCAAAAACAACTCTTGAGTACCCAAAACACACGATCTCCAGTGACCCCCAAGCATCTTCCAGACCTCCCCAAAGAGCAAAACGAGAGAAAAATGCAGGGCTCGACCGGGGATTGAACCCGGGACCTCTCCCACCCTAAGGGAGAATCATACCACTAGACCATCGAGCCGTACAAGAAAATGGGATCCAGAACGTCCCAGCACCTCCCAGCAACTCAGATGGCCCACCTGCAACCCCTCTGTGACATGCTGTGTCCGCTTCCAAGGCATGATATGGTTCTCTAGAGACGTTTTGAGCCCAATCTAGCATCCCTGCAAAGTTGTAGCGCCCAGCGGACAGTTTGAAATT